TAAATGAATGATTTCTAGTTGAAATCAATGAACAGTTAAGGATTATTTCTTTAGATGTAAAACTGTCAGTTATTCAGCTTTTGTTGACTTTAACATTGTTTTTTTTGTTTTTATTTTTGCTGTGCAGAATATCAAAGTTGTCTGTGGGGACATGAGAAGCCCGATGTTTGAGATATACAGGGAGCTAGAGTTTCTTCAGGTTTGTAGTTTGTGTTATTTGCGATATTGATACAAGCTTTCTAGTATTGTACAAAGTTAGTATAGATCTCTGTTTGATTCATTTATATTATCTGTGGAAACAAGCTCTGGCCCAGGTCTCTTTGCTTGGCCCATCTATGATTGAGTATTAAAACATCACATGACTATATTTCATTGTCATCAAATTTCCTTACAGTTATTTAGCTTATTGGTCAGAATTATTATAATTTAGTATGAAGAAACAACAACAACTAAATAACTTTTTTTTTTTTTTTTTGTCGAAAAAATACATTGTTAGAGATCAGAAATAAGCTTGCCATAGGTCATAGAGCAAAGGGAGTAGGTTTTGTATGATCTTAGAGCCTAAAAGAAAGCATAACATGCAGATAAATCAGTGTACTCCCATTTAAGAATAATGAAAAACCATAAAGAGAAAATCTAGATCATGTTTTTATTTTCAGGTAAGTTAGAATAATGTTATTTTTTTACCCAACTATACAAAAACAATCAGGCGGTTGCAGCTCATCCAAATAGTTAAATAGATTATTTCACACCACCCCGAATAGCCACAGATTGGGTAGTTGTCAAAGGAGCCTTAAAAATTTTATTCATCTATTATGAACTGAATGCTCTACAGACAGATCAGATTACCGGTCATGTTTAAACATGTAGATTCCTCGGGTCATAAGAGACCTGCTCACTCTCATTCAGTTTTTATTGCATATGAACGAAACCTAGGAAGGCATCTTTTTTTTTTTCAAGCTCATTAGTTCTAGAACAAAATACTTCAAAAAACATAGATGTGCAGAAAAGTTGGTTTCTTTAAAATAGGACTAGAAGCATTATTTACCACAGCTTTATAATGAAGGTGAAATTCTATTGCGTGTCAACTATTTTTGATGGTGTCTTAGCCATTTTCCTTTGTTTAACTCATCTCTAAATCACTTTGGATAGCATTATACATAAACACTGTTTCAATGCATCCAGTGAAAGTTAAAATAAATGAACAAATTGCTTATTTTCCCGCTCTTTCAGACACTTGCAGATGGTTTGAAAACTGGCGAGACTGAATGGATGGAGCCTTTGGAAAGCACATCAGCTGTAAATCTGACTAAAGCCTACCTTGAAGGTGATTTTGGCAGACAAGGCAATGAGAAACATATTTTAGAAGCTACAGAAGCTCTCATGTTAATATTGCTTTTTTTTCCTTTTCTTTCAGAACTTCAGAATTTGGCAAAAACAATACAGGTTCAAACAGCTAAAACAGCAGAGGTGTGATAACAATCCAAACAGACACTTTTTTTTCCTTAAATACAAGTATTTAAGAGGGAAAACTGAGACACCTGCTATGTTTTGTTCTTTTTTGAAGACGCAGAAGCAGGAGATGGATCCTCCCATTTCCAACTCCTTCTTGGAAAGAGGAGATTTGGATTTTGTGGAGGAGCTGTGGGTCAGGATGAGAAAAAGTATAATTTATTTGTTTTCTTTTATAAGCTGTAAACAAAACTTGGATTCCATGCATAAAATAATCTGATGCAACCATTTTATTAATTTTTTTCCTTACAGGCGTGACTTCATACCAGGACATTGGAGACTCTCTGAAGCTGGTTGTTGAAGCTCTACGATACGGTGACATTAAGCCTTGGGTATGATATGAGGTTACTCCAGCAATCTAATTAGATTTTTATTTTGTTTTATTCTTATTGTTGATTTTCTTTTCCTCTGCCTCCAGATTCACAGAGACAGCAGCAGCTCTCTCAGCAAACTGATCATTCAGTCCTACCAACAACAGATCGATCACGTGTCTCTGACAGGCATCACCCCAGTCATCATGTTGCTGGAAATGGGAGTAGACAAGATGAGAAAAGACTACATCAACTACTTCATTGGTGATCCCTCTCTTTTTTATCTTTCCTGTATTCATTTTTGTAAAACAAATGTGAGATTTATTTTTGATAATAAATCTCTTAACAATCACACCCAGTAAACCATTAGGATTCAAATAAAAAGCTGTAATACCTTGTTTATTCTTTGTCAGGTGAGGAATTGACAACTTTAAACCACTTGGTAAGTTGATAAATGTTTATTATTTACATATTTGGACGATATGTTTTTTGAAGGAAAAAAAAACGAAGAATTTAATTCATAATATTAATACATTTTTCTGAACAGAGTTACTACCTGAGCACAGAAGTCGATCTGCAAGAGCAAGTGATCCGACTCAGAAAACTGCACCACTTGTTGGAAATAATAGTAACCTGCCGCACTTTCTTGGGTTTGCCCTACGACCGACTCTTTGCTCTCACACAGTAAATACTGTCCATCCTTTGCTGACTTATGAACAAACTAAACGCGTATTTTACCAATTGGAGAAGCAATCTAATATCTTTTGTATTTACAGATTGGGTTTGAATCACTACAAAACCTCGACATATGATGAGGAACATGAATTCCATCTCCAGATCAAACCAGCCCTGATAAGCCATTTCTATCAAAAGTAAGGTGTCTAAACTTTTTTTTATAGCAAAAAAATAATTATTATTTATGTTTTCTTTTTGTTTTTTGTTTATAATAACTGCCAATCTTCCCCAATCTGATCTAGACTCATTGATTGTTAAAGTTGCAGAACTGTATGATGTGTTGCTTTGCAAACTATCGTAGAATTAGGTTTGAGGTTATAATGTGACAAAGATGGTGGGAAAAAAGTAAAAGGGAATACAATTTTCTTAGAATTTGATGCGATAGGCACAAATTACCAAAAAAGAATACGTATGTATAGATCGTTTGTAAAATGACATTCTTTTCTTTTTTACCCTGGAAAACCAAAACAATAAAATTAGTTTGCGTGCATGTTTTCTTCAGGGAGCAACCGGTGGTGTGGGGAGTCGAGATATCCAGTGGTCAAGGTCCTCGTGAGGTGCGGACATCCTTACAGCTCAGTGACAAGCCTCTGGTTGATCACGTCATCTTTGAAATAGGTAATCTATGTGTACCTCTCAAGAAAACCCAGCAGTGCTGGACAGATGTTTATTTACACTCAACACAGGCAATGATCGAGCTATACCAGAAAATTGTTTTATTATTACTTTCGTTACGCACAATAATGATGAAAAGTGCAGCTCTGAAAGTGCGCTGAGAAGGTTTGTGCTTTCCTGAAGGAGGGAGCCCTGGTTTCAGTAAGGCATTTACCTACAAGAGCTACAGCATTGAAATATCAGTGTGAATGCTTCTACCTGTTTGGATTGTTCTGACCAGAGCAGGAGAGCTCAGAACAGTTAGCACTCAGTGATTTGAATGCTCGGACTTTGGCCGATGTTGAGAGGCTTTATGGTGATGTTAACTGACACAAGCTAACATTAGCTTTTAGTGACTACACTCACTTGCTACTTTATGTATAGAGGTGAGACTAAGCATGGGACTGCAAACCAATCAAGTCAGGGGTCGTACCAGGTACTCAGAGGCGATGACTGCTGTGATATGATGTAGTTTTTGGGCAATCAACTTCAGCCCACAGTTGTTAATCTAAGTGTGTATTGAGACTGGTCTTGATTCCAGTTAATTACATTTTCTCTCAATACGGGTCTCAACTTTTTTTCCTTGTATGGCAAAAGCCCCTGGGTTTCAAAGTGCAGCAGTGCTTGCCATGCATCCTGTCTGAAAGGCCCATTCATATCAGCATGCAAAAATTGATAAATTGTATGTAAACAAACCACATCCTCAGCCAAGAAGGCAACAGCCTTCTGGACAGTGCCCTTATCAGGGACACTGCCATCCTAATGGTAGACTTCAACACCCATGTGGGGGAAAAAACAGTGGTACCTGAAGGGGTTTGGTCAGGAGGTGGGGTCTGGTGGTAGCATCAGGTGCACATATTCAGCTCCCACCTCCTGGAAAGCTTTTCTTAGATTTCAGGAGAGGCTGGGAAATTAAATTGATTCATGAACTCTCTACTAAACTGATAGAATACGGTGAGGAGCTCAGCCATCTGAGAAAGGCTTGGAGTAGAATTGCTTCTCCTCAACAGCGAGAGAAGTTGGCTGAAGTAGCTCAGACATAAGTTGGTTCTCCCAGGAGGATGCCCAGGACATGCTGGAGGGACTGTATTCCTTGACTGGCTCCCCCCAGAGGAGCTGTCTGGGTAAAGGGAAGCTTGGGCATCTCTGGCAGATGATGAGTAGAAGCTTTTTGTCTAAATAAACCTCAGATTAACAAACTATAATGACGTGTAGGGCAATGATACAGAGGCGGCCATGATAAATGCATTTAAACTTCTCTATATTCACTATATGTGCTTAAACTCCCCACTAAGTATATGTAACCTGTTTCTCTTCAATTATTTTTTTTTTTTTTAGATATGCCAAATGAAACTGTAAATGAAGACACCAAGGAGCATGTCTTCTTTTCTACAATGATGTGCTGCAGCTTCATCAGCTTTGCATAAATTAACTTTTTGCATTTGCTATTATTATTAGCTGTTATCTCTACTGATCTGTTTGTTGGATTCATTTTGAGTTTTTTAATATGTTCTCATGTTTGTTCAGTGTGGCTGTTAAGAGATTCACAAGAGGCTATATGTTGAACAAAGTTTAATCCTGATAAAAGCACAAATGCAATCTTCATTTGGAAAATTACAACATGAAATAAAAGTACTATACTACAGGTTTGTTTACCTCATCACAATCACTGACTGTGTTCTATGTTATCTGATCAAACACAGTTTTTTTTTTTTTTTTTTTAAGCCAACCCTGTATACACATCAAATTCAGCGTATAAATGTACCCATTTTCACACAAAAATATTAAAGAAAATATTTGGAGAAAAACTGCATGAGTGTTCATGGTTTCAGACGCCTCCTAGTTCCTTCTGCGCAGCAGGAACATGAGCAGCACAGCACTGATCAAAATGGAGAGTGTGCATACGGTGGGGACAACGATCTCAGTCACCATCTCCATGTGGCTGGTCAGCGGGTCTGCAAAACACATTTACACCCATCAAAACCTTGTAGCGATCACACACACACAGTGCAGGAAGCTAGTGTAGATGCTTATGCACAGCACTCAAAGGGTTAACATTTCTCCCCCACAGAATCATACGTTCTGATTTACTGCGAGCACGAGGGATTTCTTACCATGTATAAGTCTTAGAATATTGGCAGCAGTACTCCGCTGTTCCTCTAATAAAAGAAGAGAAAGTACTTAGAGGTGATTAACGGCAATTTAACCCTTTGAGGAGTGCATGCTGCCCCTCGAGAGTATTTCAGGAAGCTGTACATTTAATCCACTGAAAGTACACCTAGGGCTGTGCAAAAGTATGTGCAGCCTAACAACAGTGGTGTCTGATGCAGGAGTTTACCCTGCAACAGAAGAATGGATCAATGACAGTGTTGAGAGATTTACTCTGTTTCTGTTTTGTTTGTGCAAATTCAAATGTTTCAGATTAAAAAAAAACAACAGTTTTTTTTACAACTCAGAAGTTTTATGTATTGGAGACAAACCTATCCAGTAAGTGTAAAATTAATAGTTCCTCTTCAAACTAAATGATTAATTAGCTGATTAACCAGAACAGTGCTGATTACTGCCAGATTCAAAATATTGAGAAATCACTTCAAAAAAATTTCTATTTCAACACATGGAGTGGGCAAAAAAGAAAAAAAAAATTTGAACAGTGGTAAAATGATAATAGAAACAGTAGCATCAGATGCAGGAGTTAGCCTGAGAGTTGCCAGTTCAGCCCAGCTCTATCTCTGCAGTGTCCTCACTTCTCTCAGTGAGCCCCGGGGCAGCTGTGTGTGGCTCACCAGTATTCTATGTACTATGTAATGTAAAGTAGGCTTGAAAAGGGCCTTTCCTTAGAGTCTTTAAATTTTACTCCTAAAGATCACATCTGGGAGGGCACAAAAATGTCACATTTAGGTAAGTATAGGACAATGGCAGGAAAGTGACTGCAAAAGCAGCATTCAAGTTATAAGTTGAAATTAGAGCACAACTGTTAAAAACATTAAAATATGCCAAAAAATATATCTTAAAGAGCTCTAAGCCTTTTGGGGAAAAAAAAAAGATCTAACAAGACAAAGGATGAACCATCTTGCATAAATCTAAATGACAGAGATGAACGAAGAAGAAGACAAGTCGAAGTCTAGACTTAGAGAATCATTATGTGACATAAAGAAAACTGGGGAAAAAAAGGCCCTAAATGTCTTCATAGTTAAATCATTTGTGTGCCCTCTTTCTTCTGTTCTGATATTAGATGTTTTTTTGTTTGTTTTTTACATTTAGCAAACACAGAGTAAATCATTGTATGTCAGCTTTGATTTAAGCATACATGAATTTGTGGTGGGCTAGTGTTTGGGCACTGTGCTTGAATCCCAGAGTTCTGAGTTCAAGCCCCATTCCCACAGATTGCCACTCTGGGTTCCTGAGCAAAACCCTTAACCCCACACTATTCCCCGGAGCCGCAAAATGGCAGCCCACTGCTCCCCAAAGGGATGGGTTAAATGCAAAGAGTTCATTTTGTTGCTTTATACTTGTCACAGTGTAATGACAATAAAGGTGAATTCTATTCTAATTCTAGTCCATTTAAGTCTGATTCATAAAACTATACCTGTAAATATAACATCTAATTTGTGGATTACCTTGCATGCTGAAATACTCCCTGGAAAAAAGTAGCTTTTTACTTGTTAATCTGCAAACACCTCACTGTTGTAGTTAAATTTTAACCACAAAAATCCAAAAAACAGAAATAATTGAAATGTAAAAATCGTGTACCCTGAAGTTCTAAACTTCATCATGCACTGGCCAAACCCTTGGCATCTCGGCATGCTCCTCCGATTTTCTTCTAGCTGAAAGGGCAAACAAAGAAGATATCTCAGATATTCTGAAATTAACTCTGAGGACTAAGTTTAAGTTTAGCCTTATTTTTTTTATTTTATTTTTTTTTAGGTATTCTCTTTCAATATGCACTAAGATAAAATTCTAACAGCTTTTGCTAAGTTTCATTAACAAATAACCAATTTTTTTGTTTGTTTTAAACCAGATCTTTGTTTACCCCAGCTAGCTGTGCAATCACGGACAAAATCATTACAGACACTGAAGATGAACTGACCTGCAGCTAATAGCTGGTTGCTGGAAGAACACATCTCCACAGCCTTTCTCCTCCAGTTTTCAACCTGTGAATAGTCACAAAAAATTAAAGACTTTGGCTGGATCAATTTCCAAGACTTTATTCTATTATTGTTTCTCACTCTTACATAGCCCAAAATGGACTATACTATACAAAGCTGATGCATTATCTAATCCCACCAAATCAATTTTGTGTAATTTTCTTTGTAATTTTTGTTAAACCAGAGCCATTCAACTGCTAGCCCGCAGGCCACTACTGGCCAGATGACTTTAGTCTGGATTGTGAATGAGATAAAAAAACAAAAAAAAAACAAAGACCCCTTTTTAACTTACGCCGATTCACAGGAAACTGCTAGAGTTTTTCCATTAAATTACATTTTGTATCACTTTCATCTATGTTGATCAGGGAAGTATTTGCCATGCTTTAATTCAATGATCAAAAAAGATGAGACTAATACAAAATGTAGTTTTTTGAAAAAAATAAATAAAATAAAACTAGATAGTTATTGCCCTATGAAAATATATATTTTTATAGTTAGGTTATAAATCCTAAAGTAAAATCAAAGATCCTGATTTAAATACACATCACCAACATATAGTCAGTGAAGAGAAGGAGAAGATACTAAATCCAGATCAAAGTTTTTTAATAAAAAAAATGGCACAGCATCATAAATTGGCACATTAAAGGAATACCGGTAGTTTAAAATCCACAAATTCAGTGATTTTATAACTATTTTAACTTTACAGGGAAATGGCAGGGCCAAAAACAGGCATCTCACTCTCATGCTTGTTACAAAAAACATGTATATTTTAGGAAAGATAGAGAATAGGGAGCAGCAGGAAAGATCCAGGGCATACTGTCAAAGGTTCTTGTAAATAAGGCTCTATTGCTGCAAAGCATCAATTTGAAAAACTACTCCACCACGTGGCCCACTAACCTCGCCTGCAAGCTCAATTCTTATGGCATTTATGAGTTCACAAAGAAACCTGACTGCTACATATCATTGACTCAGCATGTGGCCCAAAGTCCAATGTGAAGAACTAAATTTCTTTTTCAAAGAACAAAACAATTGTCCACATTAGGCCTCTGCCAGTGTTTCTCACCTCTCTTTGATTCGGAAATCCATTAGAGCTGATGATCCGTTTGTAAAACTGCACAGAAGCTTTTGGATAACGAGGCTTGTTTTTGTTCCTGAAGTCCACGTAGTACAAGCCGAATCTCTCAGAGAAACCTTCGTCCCACTCAAACTTGTCCAGCAAGGACCATGCAGTGTAGCCCTTTACATTGACTCCATCTCTGATGGCTGAGTGAGAGAGAAACATTGGATAATTGGATAATGCATTGATCTTTCACTGTTTGTTATATATAACATTTGGAATCAATTACCTTTTAGCATCTCATTGATATATTCCTTATAATATTGTATCCTCCACTCATCACACAGCTCTGTGCACATCATCTTCTCAGAGACTCCATTCTCTGTCACATAAATCATCGGGTTTCCATACTGAGTCTGCAGGAGGGAGAATCACATAAACAGGTCAGTTTATTTGGACTGGCTCTGAGCTGAGATCAGCTACGATTCAGCAAAAATAAAAGCCATTTCTACTCTGTACCTTTACAAAATTCAGCAGACGTCTGAATCCCCATGGCACAGAGTAGAGCCATTCTGACCCAGGATCAGGCCATCGTGGGTCAACCAGCTCAGCCAGGTCACGGTCTGTGAAGTAGCTGCTGCTGCTACGACCTGGAGGGTCGTTCCTGTTGGTGATGTAGCGCGTGGTGAAATGACCAATGCCAAGGAAGTCACACGTCCCCTTTATGTAGCTCTTCTCTTGTGGGGAAAACGAAGGCAGTCGAGACGTCCCCAGCCCTTGCTGTGCACTTTTCCTTCCTGCACACAAGTTGTTTAGTGATTTATTTTTTTAGTCTAAAGCAAGAATTAAAGCCTTTGTTTTGGAGGAATCTAAATGAGAAGCACTAAATTACATGGACATGCTGCAGATGATTAACAAATATTGTATGGCATAAAGGGTAAGATGTACACACAGGTTTGGTAGGCCACATTAAAATTAGCTAATTGCTTTTTTCTTCTAGCAGCTTCAGAGAGGACGTTAAAGAAATATAAAGTTCAAAGCAATGGAAATGAATGGAACTAATAATGATAATAATTAAAAAATTATATTGCACTAAAAATTATCAATATTATTTATATTGCACTTTATGCAACATCTCAAAGTGCGTCAACAAAAATGCAGAAAATGAGCCTAATTAAAAGCATTAAATATCTGTCTTAAAACACAAATTGCTTTGCATCTTGTATGAAGATCGTCTTTTTGCGTGAGAAAATTTGCATCTGTTTTAATTCACACAAACGTTTTGAAGATCAGACCGTATACAGTGTAACTCACCAACAAAATCTTTCATTACTTGAGGGTAGTCTCCATGAAACATAGGCGTGGCGAACCAACCCAGGTAGAACTGGACATATCTCTCTGCCGCTTCAATGTCTTTCTGATTGCTGATGTCCACCGGCTCACCCCAGTCCCCCGCCAGCGAGACGCCAACCAGGCCTGCAGACACGCAGAGCAGCTCTCAGCATTATGAAACCAAATGCAGGATGAACCTTTAACCTTTTTTTTTCACAGGATTTACTGCCTTGCTTACCTTTTTGTTTCGCCCTCCATTGTGTATCATAAGTGTGCCAAACTTTGGCATGTGCCTGCATGCCAAAAGATGTCATTTAAGTTCCATCTGTTGAACTGATTTCAGTTAGGTTTAAATAAATGAATACATCTGCAGCCTCTTCTTACCTTTATGATGTGATGTGCAGCTCTATAAGCCCCAGTTCCTCTCAGCTTCAGCCCAGGAGCGTGCTCACCTGTTTCATAGCCTTCAACAGCCACAGACTGAGTGGTAAATAAAGATACAGATGTCTGAGATAAATAGTGGGATTTTAAATATTGGATTATGCAAAGGTATTGCAAAATATCTTGAAAAAGTATAAGAGCTTGTAGCAAACATACCCATGGATTGTTGAAAGTAATCCAGTGCTTCACTCTGTCGCCAAATTTCTCAAAGCAAAGGTTGGCGTAGTCATTGAAGTGATTGATCATACTTATGTTTTGCCATCCGCTGTATTTCTCTTGTAAAACCTAGAAAAGAAAAAAAAAAAACACACGATTCATTATTTAAAGGGGAATTAGAGTTAAGCTTTCAGGTGGCCAGCATAAAACACACCCACCTGAGGCAGATCCCAGTGATACAGCGTGACAATGGGAGTGATGTTGTTCTCCAGAAGATGGTCAATGAGTTCGTCATAGTACTGTATTCCTTTTTCATTAACATGGTCAGCTGCAAACAGTGTTCAACTTTAGAGTGAGGATAATTTCATACAAACAATTAGAGCACCTAAAACTTTCACAAAGGTTTGCATGTTATAAACAGTGTACTTAAAGGGAATATATGTCAAAATAAAGGAACAAATAACAGAGAAGGAGAAAATAAAAAATTTCAGTATTTTTTTAAACAAATATAAATCTTAAAAAGTCTGACATAAATCTTTATTCAGCCCTCTTAAGTCAAACCCCCCCCCCCCCCCTCCCCCCTCCAGTTACCACTGAAAATGTTTTGCTGTATGTTTCTGACAACTTTGCAGATTAAATGACTATATACTGTCTACTTTCAGTAGAATTGAACCATGCTCTCAGAATGTTCCAAAGTTTGGATGATACCTCTTCACCTTCACAGAATAGGTGTAGTTTCCCTCAGATTTACTTACACATAACTTACGCATTTACCATTTGGGGGTATGAATGTACATCTAATTAAATGCAAGTGTACACCTTCAAACTTGCAGGAAATGCTTTCTTAAACTATTTAAAAAAAATAATTTTCCTTTTTCCTCCACTTATAGTTATCTCCTACTTTGTTTTCTTCTATCACATAAACCCCCACTAAAATGTGTGTTTAAAAAAAAAATCTCTCTCTATATATATACATAGTGATATGATCTCTCTTTCTAGAGGTTTACTCACACTTTATACCAGTGGGAATGATTCTAGGCCAGGAGATGGAGAAACGATAGTGGTTTAGTCTGAGTTCCTTCATCAAAGAAACATCATCCTGTACAAAATACATCAGATATATTTAGGTTGATCTATGCACATCACGCAAACTCCTTCTGTCTCTTATTCACTCTGATTCCCCACCTTTATTTTGTAGTAGCTCTCACAGGAGGAATCCCCCGTGTCATTTAGCTGGATTTTGCCCTTTTTATGACTGAACACATCCCAGATGCTCAGTCCTTTTCCATCTTTGTCCCAGGCTCCTTCTGTTTGATAGGCCGAACCTCCGGCGCCCCATGAAAATCCTATCAAATGCAACACTTGATCAGCTCAGCGGGCTCTCACAGCTGGCATGGTTGGCAAAATGAACAAAGGACTTTTCTGAATTTAGGTATACCAGTTGGAAAAGTGCCATAATAGAAGGAGCCGTAGTTGTTCTTTGTCCAGTCGAAGTCCTCAGCCGTAGACAAACACAGCACCAACATAAGCACATGGCACACACTGAGTGCACAGCGGAGCTGCATGGTACTCCAGAGTCTGCAGCACAGCTGATGAGATCCTCCCTGATGTGGGCTACAAACAGGGCCAAGAACTCATCTAGTGACCACTTTTAATCACAGAAACAGACAATAGTGGTACAACAAGGCTAACAAATGCACGCTTTCTTGAAAATGAAATATATTAGTATCAAAGACAAACTTAAAAGTCCATCAAGCTCTCTATAAGCATCCAGTGTGATGGTCTGTGGGGGGTCTCGGCCCCCTAATGCAAAGCCAAATGCCTCTTTTCAAACTCAATGGAGTGCGAGTGAATCCTGCTGAGGCTGACAGATTCTATACAAACTGTGGTTTCACCTCTGTAAGCAAAGCTAATGTTTGGGAGGTTGATACATTTACAGTCAACAGTCACATGACATCTGTGTTTTCACACAAATAAATATGGACATTAAAACTCCTGCAATTATTTTTTCTAATATAGTGACAATAACATTTTAGAATCATATCAATTTAGAAACATAGCACAAAATATAATGAATTTGATCGAATTCACTCACATATTACCTTATGTTATAGTTTACTTAAAGTCATATCATTCCCAAATGTAGGAAAGAAGTCTGGGAGAAGAAGCTCCTCCAACGCAGCAGAAGATGGAGAAAGCTAGAGACATCGAAGGAAGAAGTCTCCACAGCCTGGTGCAGCACTACTCATCTCCAGAACCGTCCCCTGCAGTAGCGTGAACGCTCACTGCATTGTGAGACTAAATGTATTGTTTTACCTGTTGGAAAATGCTGAATAGTTTTTTTTTTTTTTCAGTTGAAAGTGATTGCACTGCATTCCCATTTTTCTGGGTCAGATGAGGACAGAAATATGTTTTAGCTTAGGTGTAAAATGAATTTATTCGCATTCAAAAGAAAAAAAACAACAACATTTTTGATGCTTTATAAATGATTCCAAAACTACGAAATATCTATTAATTAAACAGAACATGTGCAAGATCTAAAGGTGGCCAAATTAGCTCAAGAGCACAATTGGTCATAATTCTGACCACTAGATGGCGACAAAGTGCTTCCAATATTAGCCTTTGTATGAGCTGGGGTCCCCTTTATGAAGCAGGTTTACCCATAAGTCTAAACCTAAATTTGAATAAACCTGAAAACAGGGAGCTGACTTTTCCGGTTCACAAAGAGAGTTTATTCAACCTTTGTTTCAGTCACCATAGTAACATTCTCCCCAGAGCTAACCTATATATAAAATTCACTAATGAAGGTTATTGTTTCAAAACTATTTGTGCATTATAAGTGTGAATTTGAAGTTGTAGAGAGAGGTGCATTCTAAGTTTTGTATTTGTAGGATAAAAAAAAAAAAAAAAATCACAAATACAAATTTGTTTTACATCTGTTTAAAATTTAAGTACCAGTACACAAATTCTGTTCTACAAGTTGCACATAAAAAATCTCTTACATTCTCAGTTTTGCTTCAAATGATCCAAAACTATTGTTGCAAAACTATTTGTGCATTGTAACTTTGGTGTTTCATAACTGTAGATGTTTTTTTAATCTGTAACAATTACAAAATAAAGTTACACCTCTTCAAATTCTTGAGTATAAGTACAAAAATTATGTGAGTTGCACGTCAAAAATGTCTTCATGCAACTCACAGAACACAATTTGTGTTCTACTAACATTCAACATTCATGCCAACACTATGGCAAGCCTTTGATATGTACTAGTTTTACTGAATGTATTCCTGATATCTGGAAAACAAAAAAAATATTTGCCTAAAGGACCATTTATTAAAAAAAATGACATTCTCCACATCTAGAATAAACATTGTGGATGCCTATAAATTAATTTCAGATCTCCATATTCCTAATATTACTGGTCAGAATTTGTATTATTTGAACAATATTTTTCAGATATAAATACATTTTCAATAAAGCTGATAAATGTCAGAACAGCCACTTAAAATGTGTAAACGTTTCTAGATAAATCAAACTTAATTCTTATTTGTTTTTTACTTCCTAAAATTCTTTTTCTGCAACAAAAATGTAATTTAGAAAATATTCTATTATTGTTAGATCTATGAGTGTGATTTTGATCAGGAAAAATCTTTTTTTAGTGATCTACAAATCGAACAGAGGAGTGGTTTTAATAAATGTAAAAATGGCCTGCCATAGCCCACGTCATATAAACTTAAACATATAAACTTATTTAAACAACCTTCTTTGCCATCTTCCTCCCTTTGTAGCTGTAGCGCTGATTCTGTCTTTTTTTATTCCTCCTTTTTTATTTTACTGTTTGCATTTATGCATTAAAATCTTGTTCCAGTGGGGTGAAATAGGCACCTCCTGTTGCCTGTTGTTATGGTGACTGGTCAAATCGTAGGTCCACCAATAATGGCTTTCCATACTTGTTGCGCAGGCTTTTAACTCCAACTGGACCTATTAAAGTGAACTAATTCATAGCAGCCGTTGTAAATCCGAACACTCAAGAGTTCCGACTTTTGGCTAGATCATCTCAGAGTTGCGGATTTGAATCTGAATTTGTTAAACCTGCTTCATGAAACGGATCCCTGATTTTGTAAGTGATATGTAATAAGTGCTATACCTTCTGATCAAATGTAAATTGTGATCATGGCATTAAGTGGTTAAAGAAAGACTCTAGTGCATCTATATAGAAGTGAATATAATCAAAAAAATATTTAAATGAAACATTCAAATATATTAATTTAAGGGTAAAACATGTCAGGTTCTAATTTAATTTTGGTTAGTATGGATTACAGGTAAAATCTATAAGTAGATCAAACGATAAAAAAATGGCATTATTAAAATCTATATATTCCAAATACATATATCCGTTATTAAATTGTCTGAAAAAAAAAAACACAATGAAACAAAAACAAAATCGGACACAGAATAACAAATGCAAAACATTTATTTTTGTGCTTACAATTCTCATTTCTTTTATAACAACACATACATTTTTACTCTTTTATGGCCCAGCCATAATGTTTCATGATACACATATCAACCATAGGGATTTCTGATTTTGAAGTGAATTTTCACCAAAAATTTGGTCTAGAACGCTACTGAATAAGCACCTAATGAAACTGCTTTAAAGCATTAAAGTGACGCGTTTCTCACAATATTTGAAACAAATGGAGAAAAAATTCAGTTGATTCAGTTTAAACCAGGCAAAGAACAGGCGATGCTAGCACCACTATGACACTGTAACTCTTACTCCATCTAAATAAGTTACACTCACCAACATACAAAAAAGGGTCTCTCCATTGTTAACAAGTGGTGCAAATACACACATACAACCCATAATTCTTAATAATCCTGTTCCTCCTCATCCTCTTGAGGCAAAAATCCAAGCTCATTGTCATCTTCATCATATTCATTCTCCTCATCTTCATCCTCTTCGTCCTCCTCGTCTTCGTCATCGTCCTCCTCCTCCATGTCGTAATCCTCAGCACTGTTCAGCAGGAGTTTAGTACGATTGATTTCACCCTCATCATCAAGATTAACATTAACCTGCAAGAATATGAATAAATTAGATCAGAGACAAAGGAAAAACACGAAAGACATCACTCAGCAAAATGTCGTATTTCCACTATAAGTGGCGCCCACTAGATAAAAAAAAAAAAAATAAATAAAATAAAACTGGAAACATACATATATATTTATAAGCTACACAGGGCTATAAGCCGCTGACATCTACTGAACCGTTTCCCTCCAAACCTGTAGAGGGAGCTCTACATATCGCTGTCATAATGCTAGCCCCTGTTAGCTTGTTGGCTCGCCGCAGTAAGACTTTCTAGTGAAAGATGGAGCTTCATTAGCTCTTTATTTCAGCTCTGCAGGAGTTGGGCCCAGTCTCTTCATTGGTTCGGCAGCTTTAGGGCGGGAAATTAATGTCAAAATGTTTGAATTTGTGGCATTTGTTCTCTGTCATGCCTGCTGTTAGAAAGTTCTTGTGCTTAATGTAAATTAGCCCCTTATTCTTTCATTTCCAATTTTGAATTCCTCCCCTGGTGGTTAGGTAAAATCCACAGACAAACATGATGTAAGATATTCCAAAAAAGTAAAAAAAAAAAAGTAAAACAATCCACTGGACTTTGTTTCCAAGTTTAAAGACGTTTTGCTTCCCATCCAGGAAACTTAGGAATAGCACTGACATTTTGAATTGAAGGCTGGATGCAGCATGATGTAAGATACAATTAACAGATCGAGACAACATGACAATGTTAAGTAGAATTTAGATAGACGATTTTCAAACAATGATTTTTTTTTTTTTTTTTTTAGATAATTCTCTTCCCATCCGCTACCAGCCTTACCAACAACCCCAGGAGCACCCCGTGACACTGTCACGGTATATTTGATGTTATACATTGTATATAACTATAGACCCTGTATTCTGTATATGCTGTATATATATATATATATATATATATATATATATATATATATATATATATATATATATATATATATATATATATATATATATATAATTTGTCTGCATCATCAGCACCAAATCTAATTTCTTGTAAGTGCAAACCTACTCAGCAATGAATCAGATTCTGATTCAACCAAAATGTAAAGCATTTACATAGATTTAATTAATCAGGATCACTTGCAATTAACTGTCTTTACCCTGATGCCTTAATAAAATCCATTCAACCAATATTTGATCAAACTGTTTTTCAATGAAATAAACCCAAAAAAGTGGAATTTTTACCAGTTGTGTACAACCACAGACCGAAATTGTTGTGCAGTCATCGTCAATCTATTATTCAAATAATCATGAACTATTTTTGTTATCAATTCATTGTTAACTGGAGTTTACAGACTGTCACACATGCAATCAGCAAGAAGTTACCCACTTCGAGTTATTATAGCAAAATTATACAAAGTATATATATATAAAAAAACTATGCATATAAGATTAAAAAAATTATTTTGTCCATGAATATGATTATTCCAGAACTCATATTATTTTATTTTAGATTCAGCTGGTTTAAATTCTGTATAAAATCTTCACTGAGATATTTTTTGCTATACAATTATGAAGTAATAGATTGGAAAAATAATCAACAGAATAATCAATCAGCAAAATAACCAGTTACAGCCCTACTATACAAGTTTAGAAAAGCATCCCACACCACAAGGCTGCCACCACCATGTCTCGTGGATGCAGTGTAATCATTAAGAAAACATATTTATTTGTACTGAGATTAACTTGAACGTAGATCAACTTTATGAATTCATTATGAGACTTCTAAAGCCAAATAAACAAATAAAGGTAAGTAAATCCCTTTATTTTCACACAATGGGGAAATTCACCCCCCCTTGGGGAGCAGTGGGCTGCCATTGTGTGGCTCTTATCATAATTTATTTATTTATCATAAATAAATAAATTGTGATAGAAATATATACTTGAATGGAAAAAATGTGACAATGAAATTGTGAAAAAACTGAATGCAAGTTAAAACTCTCACAGTGGGGAGATTCTGTTTTTCATAGTATAAAAAAAAGTGATAAAATAAAATTTCACACAAATGTGGACCTTAGAAAAATGTATCAGAATAACTATAGTGAAGAGTTAAAAGAAAAAACAATAAAATACTTTACAGTAAAGTGTGTGAACTATATAAAAACTGTGCACCTGGAGAATAAAAATAACCAATATACAGCTATAAAGATTTTTTACAAT